GGAGATTGTGAGACCTCTAAGAACAATCCTTAGACTAACCGAGAGGGGTGTAATTGGTAATTTTTAAAAAAATTTAATGTTTTATAATTTGATATAAAAGTGAATTAATTTCACAATAAAAAGATCTTAGTTTTCACTCGCATAGTTAATCATAGAAAAAGAAAGTACGAAAAATAATAAGAACAAACACACCATAAATTATAGTGGTTCGATGAAACCTGAGCTACATCTACTCCCCAAAATCCTCCTTTTCAAGGTATTGCACTAATAAAAATGTCTCCTTTTCCTCAAATAGAAAGTCAGAGAAGCCCTTACAAAACACCTTCCATCAACTCAGTGCCACCGATGACCTTAGTCTATTTCACCCTCTTGATGAAGGCAGAGAACCTGATATCCTTTTTCTCCCTCCTAGAGATGGTAGAGAACCAACAATCATTTTTCTCCCAGCTGGAGATGGCAGAGAACCAAAACCTAATGCTATAGAATGACTTCTTGGAGCCTCCAAAAGTTCAAGGAAGAAGCTTGAAGATGATGAGGAAGAACCTTTCTTGGAGCAACCTTGTGAATCCCTCATAAATCTCCCTTATAAAAACTCTACCTCTCTTCTCTCTCCCTAAGCTCTCCTAAGAACCTCTTTTCTCCCTCTTAGAAAATTTTAGCAGTAAAAGTCTTGACATAAGATAATGTGAATGCTTAAATAGGGAGCCTCTCAAAAAGCCCTAAATTTTAATTTAGCTACTCTAATCATCCCGTACGATCCAAGATCGTACTATACAATTAGGTCAAAATTTTCCTATTTATACTATATGAGGAGATATACCGTGTATAATCAGATTAATAAGGTGAAATGATCATCTAGGATGATTGAGAGCATCATCTAGTACAATTTGTGTGAACAACATGGATAATCATTCCGTATGATAGGCGATGATTAATTATCATCCCATGTAGGAATCAGATCATACCTTAGGATCATTCAAATCATCTAGTATGATAAGAATGAATAAAATGGATAATTATTTAGTATGATGGGCAATGATTAATTATCAACCCATGTAGGAATCAAGTCGTACATTATGATCGATCAAATTATCTTGTATGATTTAATCGAAGAAACTAACTATAATTATTCTCCTAATCATAGAATCAATTTAGACATGATTTTCATATATCGTATAATATAATGCATATCATACGGTACGATTAGACACAAATATGAGCATTAAAATATTGCCTAAATTATGATTGGCGGGTAAATATCCTGATTATAACTAATCATTCTATATGATAAGGATCGTCCACTATAATTAATTTAATCAATCTCAATTAGCAAAGGGTGCTCTAATTAAGATTTTATGGTTAACTGAATATCGATTAATTTAAAAATAAAAAATATTTCCAACTCACTAACTCACTCCCTTGAATATGTATGTGCAAGATTATTTATCTTTAGGATCTACTAGAATATATAATTGATTCAAGATAGGTAAAAAGTATAAAAACTAAAAATACAAACTTTAATCCTAGCCTACCTAGTCTTGAGCTAATTGAGATTACAAGTACGCTATGGCCCTGAAATGTTAATGAGCAAGGCAAAAAAAAAAGTAAATTCAATTATTAGGAGATTGCATTGTGACAAATCAAGTAATGTTTATTATCATCAAAATTGAAACACTTAAATCCAGATTTGTAATAGAGTCAACCATTTTTTCTTTGACAAACAATTTAATTAATTATTATCGAGTTATATATTCTTATTTAATACCATGCTATAAACTAAAGGTGCATTACTTTATTTACTATCAATCGTCGGGTTACACATTAACTTCTATTGAATTCAACACTAAGTTAAGAACTTCAAGAAAATTTTATAAAAGTTCTTACAATTACATTTAGGCAAGTGCCATAGTACATGCTTTTTATTTATACCAATACTGCCAAAATAAAAACTTAAATAAATTTAGAGCAATAAAAATAAACAAAAAAAAAAGATGAGTAAGAAAAAAATATTTCATTAAATAACTTTGCAAATACAAGTTATCCTTATGGAAAAAAAGGTATAAAAAAAATTTCATAAGATGGGCTAGTATGATTGAATCACTAGTCATACTCACACTATTAGTCTTCACACCTTTTGAAACTTCCTAAAAGAACATAGTAGAGTTTTGGATTCTAGAGTTAAGCTCACTTTCGAGATGAGCTTCTTGAAGTAGTACTTTATTTCAGCCTTGAACCTTTGTCTTATGATTTCCCCACAGTCACTAGACTTTAAGAAGGAGACAAAATTCGCTTTAGTGTGCTTAATATCAGTGGATGTCTTGGTGAGTTTTAATTCAATTATCTCCTTCAATTTTAACACTACCTCCTTCTACCACCTCCTCTAATAAGTCTACCTTTGAAGCTTCAACCTCTTAACGATCTTGCTCTATAGATCCTCCACCTTGACTTCAATGGCAAGATTGGTTAACCTCTCATCTTCCACACACTATTGGTAAGAACTATAGGACTTCTCGAGGTGGGCCTCCTTCACCATAAGCCACTGGTAGGAAGGTCGTAAAAAGTTCTCTAGAAATTTCATGTTGGCATAGTTGAGCTCATATTTAGGGATAGCCTTTAAGTACCCATCGAGTGATCAAAAGAAAGTGGAATGATCCTTATTGTAGAACCTATATAAGGAATAGGGATCATTGGCTATAACCCCTGAGTAGGTAGCCTTTGTGAGTGAGGAAGGTTAGATTAAGCACTTTCTTCCTTATCTTTTTCATTCCCCATCGCCCACTCTACAACATCCACTTCTTTTTCATTGCATATCTTTCCATCACTACCTCCTCGACCTTTTATTCCCTTCCTCCTCATCAATGGATATCCCCTTAGCAGAACGAGGTGACATTATCAACTTTAAAGTTAGAAATGCTACCACTTCCTTGCCCTTAGCGAGAACTTGCATCATCTTGATGCATGCCAACTAATTCCTGGTGTTCGTGCCTTGGAGCAAGGAGGAATCACCACTTTAATCATGATTCTCTTGGTCACACAACATATATATCGACTCTTTGTATAAGTGTTGAAGTGTATGTCTTCACTAGGAGCTCACACCTATTTTGTTATCTTCCTGAAATATTAGGCAAGGTATATAAGGTTAGTGTGATTCACTAATACCTAAGAAGATTACAAGCACTTGGAATTTATGAATGTAATAATGCATTTGTAAAGAGCATCAATGGCTATTACGAGGTTTCTATAGGAATATAAGAGGGTAACAAAGGTTTACAAATATAAGAGGGTCGTTTCTACTCGTAGCTCTCAAGTCTTAATTGTTTCATATCTCATTATAGAACCTCATTCACGGTAAGGTCCTTGTTAACCTCACTTTTCACTCAGTTCATATAAACCCTAAACCTATAAATATCTATTTTAAGCTTGGTAATATATGAATATAGTGTTATATTGCTTGATTAAGCACCAAAGACCTATTCCTAGGTCCCCTATTATAACTTGTCAAAAATTAACTTGCCTATTATGTTATCTTGAATTAAATGGTTAGAATACATGACCTATACCTATAAATTTGACTCCAATCTCCTAAAACCTAACTCTAAATATCCTTGAACTAATATAAACCCTAAACCATGCCTTAGTTGACCTAAAAGCCAAAGGGTTAATCCCCAACCTACATGAAGCTTTCCAAGTGAACAACATCATCCATGACACTTGCTATTTGATTTTAAGCACTATCCAAGTCTCAACCATAGGAGCTTGATATACTAAACTCATCAACCCTAGCCACTCAAGCCAAAAGTTGACCCATTTAACATGATTGACTTAGTTTAAGCATGATCAACTGTCAAACCCCTACATTGATTTACTCTAAGCCTCACTATTTTAGAAAACCTCACCAAATTAAATCCATTAAATCTTCTTAAGGTTTGGGCATGCTTTTGCCACCTACTTTGGTTAACATTTGACTTAGTTAACCTAATCCAAGACTGGTTAAACTAGTATAGATTTTTACGATCAATTGGACCTACCCCATTGCTCAAGCTTGGTCTATTTGAACTTTTAAACATCCTTAAACCTTAACCTATCTACTTTATAGTGGTTTGAATTGGTCAGCTAATATGAAGTGGTCAAACCTCGGTAAACCCAAATCTCCTTCATGTAAAATTGAAATTAATTATATCAAATCCCTTTGACTTGAGCCAAATAGCCTTTAGAGGATCCCAAGGATCTATTCTAGTTGGCTTGACCAAAGTTGACTAGATTCTTCAAATAACCTAAAATATCCAAATTGTCAAAGCTAACTAAGCCCCTATCTCAAGAATAAGTAATATAAATAAAAGAGAGATCATTCAGCCTCCAAACTCTTCAAGTAATTGCTTGGACTATCACCTTGCCTTTTTTAAAATTATATTTGTGCAAGTTCCACTTTGGCTGCCATTTTCTTTTGCAGGGGCTTTTTAGTGCACGTGATCGTAGTCATGATTTTTTGGAAGTTAAGGTGGAGCTTGCTGCTGTTTTTTTGTTTGTTCCCTTTTTTGGGATGCTATTTCTTGTTCACCGTAGATTGTACCTAGGTTATTTTATAATTTCGTGTAGTAGGGAACCCGAGTTCCTAGAATTTTTTTGTTTTCTTTTTGTAGCTCTTATGAGCATTACTAAGCTTGAGATCTCTTTAAGGACTTTGTACTATTTTTCTTATATTAATGCTTAGGCCTCTCTAAGAGTTTCCCCTTAAAAACAAACAAACAAACAAACAAAACAAAACAAAACCCCTATCTCTATCATATACCAACTAGTTTGGCTTGTTTAAATCTTCTCTAGAACATTACTAAAAGTCACCTAAACCTAGCCCATGCTCTAGTTTAGCCCAAACCTAGCCCAAGTTATCCTCTCCACGAAAAAATGCCAGGTTGTTTTTTGCTCACCTTTCACCTAGCCACTTGCCACGAAAAGGTCCTCTACCAGTTGGAAATCATCTAAGGAATGATACTAATGAATCCCATCTATTTGTTTGGCCTATAATAGTTCGAATAGGATAAACCATGCGAACTCTTCATACAAACTTTCAATTAAGAACCAGTGCTTCCATGACAAAATTCCTTTTAATTCTTGCTTCATAGGGTTTAAAATATTGTCGTGATGACGCTGAGCTTGTTGGTTACCTCCCCGGCAAGGAGCGCGAATGCCCATTTTCACCCTATCTTTTCTAGCTATTCCGCCACCGTCAGCCTCTCCTTCCCTCTTCGGCAATGGAGGCCAATTCGAACCTTAAACCAGACACTAGCTGCCCGCCGTCGGTTCTTCTTCTGCACTGTTGCGTCCTCTTCGTCGCCGCCGTTGCAGCAAGTTGACATGAGCGAAGCGGAAGCGAGAGGGGATACGATTGGGTGGGGGAAGGTTTCGGCCGTCCTCTTCGACATGGACGGAGTTCTCTGCGACAGCGAGCAGCCATCTCGAATGGCCGCTGTCAATGTTTTCGCTGAGATGGGCGTCTCCGTCACCGCCGATGACTTCGTGCCATTCATGGGGACCGGTGAGGCAAATTTTTTAGGAGGTGTTGCTTCTGTGAAGGGGGTTAACGGGTTTGATACCGAGGCAGCTAAGAAACGGTTTTTTGAAATATATCTTGATGAGTATGCAAAACCCAATTCTGGCATTGGATTTCCAGGGGCTCTAGAGATCATAATGGAGTGTAAGAGTAAAGGGCTCAAGGTTGCTGTTGCGTCAAGTGCTGATCGGATAAAGGTTGATGCAAATCTGGCTGCTGCTGGCTTGCCGACGGCACTATTTGATGCCATCGTCTCAGCTGATGAATTCGAGAATTTAAAACCTGCTCCAGATATTTTCTTAGCAGCATCAAAAATTATGAATGTTCCCCCCTCTGAGTGCTTGGTAATTGAAGATGCTCTTGCTGGAGGTCAGGCTGCCAAAACTGCAAATATGAGATGCATTGCAGTTACCACTACACTGTCCGAAGAGAGAATACAGGAAGCCAGTCCTTCACTCGTCAGAAAAGATATAGGAAATATTTCAATTCATGATATTTTAGAGGGTGGAAGTTCAGATCACAGGTCACAGAATCATCAAAATTCATGATTTTCCTCAAAAGGTAAGGCAAGTGGGCATGCACAAAGATAGTAAGCTACCTTTTAATTCTCATTGTATATTATTGCTAAATATTTTGCCAAACATTATAACGACACTAGCTTTGCTAAGCTTCAAAATAGGAGAGGTAGGTAAACCAAGAACATTATTTTACAATCTCTTAGGGCCACCCGTTCGCAAACTAGTCGTTAGCACTTTTTTTATGTTTAAATCTATTATTTGAAATGTTAGGAGTATCGGTTGCCCCTCTTCTAAATTGAGGGTTAAGAAGCCATATTTATAATGTTTCTATTCTTGTTTTGCTTGAAGTTCTTATTACTACTTCTAAATTATTTAGTAGTACTAAATTTTTGGGCTTTAAGCATTCTGTTTCAAATTATGCCAATAAGAATTGAGTGTTATGGAAGGCTCCTGTTCGGATTGATGTTATTGGAGATTTCACTAAAGTCCTGCATTGTAATATTGAATTTTTAAATTTAAACTGTTGTGCCTCTTTTATCTATGCTACTTTTTCTCGTAATACTAGAAAAGTGTTATGGGAGCAACTCACTAATTTTCATAGTATTTTTGTAACTTGCCCTAGAGTGTGGGTGGTGATTTTAACACTTTCTAATCCCTCTGAGCGTATTGGTTTCTCTACTCCTAACTATCACTCTATGGAGAATTTTAATAATATGATTATGTATTGTACTTTAGTTGACATTGATTTCTATGGTAACAAATTCACTTGGAATCGTGGTCATTTATGACAACTATTGGATTAGATTTTGTTTAATGATAATAGGCTCTTTTAATTTTATTTCTGTTGAGCATCTTATATCATAACTCTTTCTGATCACTCTCCTATTAGTCTCAAGACTATGCATATGAGTTCTTTGCCTCATTTTAGATTTCAAAACATGTTCTTACTTCATGATTCTTTTCTGGACGTAGTTCAGGAAAATTGGCATGCCCCCTACATCCTGATAACTCTATTCTTGGCATGAAGAGTTTTTGGTTTAAACTAAAAAGACTTAAAAAAATCATTAATTGGTGGAATCACAATATTTTTAAAAATATTTTCACCAATATTTTGAATGTTAAAGACAAAGTGAACACTATTGAGCTTAATTGTCAATTGTTTCCTTGGGAGAGTTTCCAAGATTTTTTATAATTTCTCTAGACATAACCCTAAGTTGATTTACCTATATGCCTTTGCTATTCATTATGGTCTACAATCAATGACATATAATCCTTGTATAAATGTAACCACTCCACATAAATTTTAGACCTATTTCACTATGGATTGGATGTAATGAATTTTCAAACTTCTTAGTCAAATCATGAGTTGTAGATTAAAAGTTAAATTACAAAGAATGAGTGAATTAAATTGACCAAGAAATATTAGGTGATGTAGGGCATATCCTCTACTATATTTTGTCCAAATTTGCGTCCATGTTGATGAGTATTTTATGTTTAGTTTGATAAAAATAATAAAGCCTATAAATAAAACTACTTTCAAAAACTCATAAAAAAGGCTATAATTTGATTTTATTTAATATAACTCCTCATTGTGAATCCATGGAGTTATTTTATGAAAATTTTAGTTAAAAATGAATTTACTATGATTTTCCAAAACTTCAGGCATTTAAGTATAGCATTAAATAGAAAATCCAGAGGTGACATAGACTCAACCTTGGACTTCCATGCAGCAACAGATGTCTGGTCCATGCACAAGTTGGCGATCAAGCCTCTTAACCATGTCGGCATACTTCATTGCTATCAAATATCACACAGTTTGGATGGAAGGGTAAAATTACATCAGATGAGTGAAAATCCATCCTATAGGTTTGAGGGGCATCATATTTAGAAATGATATAATAAAATCTCATTTGTAAAAAATAAATAGAAGAAATATACAGGTGAAATTCTATCTTCTTCCTCAGATAACCATAATTCTTCGTTATGAATGTTTAATTATACTTTCTATACAATATAGATCCTATTTATAGATTTTGGTTGAAGGTTCCTTAAGGTCTAAGGAAAGTCTCCTGTGAGTTTGAAAGCTTTGAAAGCTATAGTTTATGAGTTATTTAAAAGACTAGGCTAGGAGCTAGAGTTTATGTTTTACCTTGATAGGAGTGATCTTAGAAGGCATTTGTTGGCTAGTTTTCTTCGTTAGCTCTAGAAGAAGAAGTTTGATAAAGGAGTCAAAGTCTAAGGAAGCGTGGTCTGGAATTTATGTACCTTAGGATGGAGTTGCTCTTGGTTCACCATAAATCTGTCTATCCATAACCTCTGAATGGTAGAAAAGGACGGGAAGATTGAAGAGGGATCTATAGAAAATAATAATAATAATAATAATAATAAAGAATAGCCACCTAGAGGAGCTCAGAATAGTGAATGAAGCTTGAATCAAGATTTTTCTTATTGTACCATATTATAAGCAATGAAACTCGATCAAAGGGTTATGTTGACTCAGGGACATTAGATAGATAATCACCAAGTGCCTTAGATTTTTAGTGAGTGTGAGTTTGGCCAATAGAGGAGTGTATGACATGGAAACTAGATTTTGTCTTTTTATGGATGGGAGACAAGTTGGGTTGGGTCCAGGCTAACCCAGGCCATGTGTTCGGTTTAAAAGGTCTTTAGAAAGTTTATAGAATAGGTTCCAGCTAGGATTATATGGGTTAGACCATCTAAGTATTAATTTAAACCATGTTGACTGGTCAACAATAGTTAATATGGCTAGGATGGACCATGGAGGGTCCCTAAAGACTATTTAGGTCAATTATAAGGAGTTTGATAGGGTGGGTTTGATGTTTGAGCAAAGGAGACTAAGCATAAATGTATTTGATAAATTTTGGTGAGTTGACTAAGTCAACTCCCCCTGACTTGACTCACCCAAGGCTTAGGCATGTTTTGAGAGTTGATTGGACTAGATTTGAGCAATGAAAGGGGTCCAATTGATAATATAGAAGGATTTGATATTGATTTGACCAATCTCGGATTGGATTGACAAGGTCAAGTTTTGACCAAGATGAGGTTACCAATCATTATCAAAATATAAGGAGGTGATTTTAAACTAATTTGATGAATTTTAGTTATAAATTTGAGTTTAAATAATGCAATCAAGGGATTTGATAAATTAGGCTATGTTCAGCTAGCTTAACTAGGTCAAATAGGTCTGGTACTAGGTTAGGGAACCAATATTGATGAGTTTAATGTATGATGCTCCAAATGGTAAAATTTGAATAATGATTATAGTTAGGGTTCTAATGTATTGCAAGGTGCAGTGCATTGGCCATGTTGATTGTGATTTAGGGTTTGGAGCTTGAATAACCTTAACTAAAAGTGAGGTCAATACCTATCTAGGCTTAGTAATTCATCAATTTTCTTACCAACTTCAATATACAGAGCACCTAGTAAGAGGTAGTAACATGGAAGAAATACTAGATGTTATATGCTATTGGAGCTTAAGGAGAGTAGGCAATAAATGTGGGTATAATTTTGAAGAACCCAAATAGAATTATCATTACATAGCATGCCTATAATAAATTTAAGGTGATGAATAATCAAGTAGAGTATGAAGCATTATTTACATATTTATGCCTTACTACAAAGCTTTGGATGACCTAATTGATAGTGCACTTTGACTTTTAACCAATGTTGAATCAAATAAATGGCAAATACGAAGTGAGGGATAAGATGTTATTGAAATATTCTTTTAAATTAAAAGCAAAATTCAATAAGGTAGCATACTTTAAAATAATCCAAATAATGAGTGAGCAAAAGAAACTACATGTCCACCTATCCAAATAGATAAACTCAGATGGGTGACCAACTTTGATAATAATATGGCCCATGATTAAAGAAGAGAAAGTCATGCATGAAGAAGGCAGCTTCCAAGTGAGTTGGATAGACCCCATCCTAGAATAATTAAGGATAAGGATAATAAGTACTAAGGTTGGTAACTAATAATGGTTTACAATAAAGGTGGTTATATACCTATTAAATAAATAATATGTCACTTAATTTGAGTTGTGTTAGAGAGACTGAGAAGGAGGTTGAACTTAGAGAGGTTCACTTAAGTGAATGTGGTAATCACTCAAGAGGAAGGATACTCACCCACAGAATTTTGAGGCAAATATATTTTTGGCCAACTTTAGGAAAGGATGCAAAAGAATTATCAAGGAAGCACTTTCAATATCACAAGTTTACCCCATACAGCTATAGTCATCCCATAAGTTGAATCCTATTTTCAACCATGGCCATTCACTACTTGAAGAATGGACTTGCTGGGACCATTATCACCATCCATTGGATAGAAGAAATTCATACTTTCCATGATTAATTACTTCACCAAATGGATATAGACCAAGGTACTCACCAGGTTAACCTCATCCATTATTAGTGACTTTATATTGATTGATATAGTCTACAAATATGACCTACATCTTATGATTATCATTGATAATGATCCTTAGGTCATGATTAAAGGTTGAAGGATTTCTGCCAATCACAAGAACTTCACATGAGTTCATCACCAGTAGTCCAATAGGCAAGTTGAAGCAACAAATAAGCAAAATCTCTTAAGAAAGAAGGTAAAATGAGCATCGGGAAAAGTGGGTGGAGAGGCTACCTCCTATCTTGTGGGAGCTGAGGATGACTCACTCATTAGTAACTGGATAAACACCATTCTCACTCTCGCATGGTGCCAAAGCATTATTACATATAGAAATTAAATTACAAAGCCAGCAAGTGGTCGTCATGGCCAATTATAAAGATGACGAACTCAATGAGTGGGAAATGAGGAATCAAGAAGGCTTGTAGAAAGTAGTTGATCTCTTGGATGAGCTCAAGGTACAAGATACTTTCAAACAATAAGAATTAAAGAGAAGAGTGCCCAAGTAATATAACTCACATGACAAGGACAATGCCTATAACATTGGTTACCTGACCCTTAAGAAGGCAAGCACTACTATTTAATAGTATATCCTTGGCAAGTTGGTATCAACAGGGAAAGACCCTTACAACATTAATAAGAAAGCAAGTTGGCTTAATATCTTATTAGTTACAAACAAATTTTGGAAAATAGGTGCCCATGATATGGAGTTTCGATGACTTGAAGATATTCTACCCATGAGGGAGTGTTTTCACTATATGTATTTTCATTCATTTTTAAACCCCCTTAATAGAGGTTGACTAAGATGAGAAAGAATCAAGTTATCATGTAGGTTCAAGTTAAAGGGTGACTCAAACTATTACCTGTAGGTGAGTCAAGGCCTCCAGGAAAAAGATCTATATGAGAGCTAAAGCGCCTAGGAGAAGGATTGTCTCCACCCAAACAAGGTCTCCTCTTTGTTTCTTATCAAGTCACTTTGGTAAGTTATATTAAATTTTATGAAACGTTTCCACAATCTAACTTGATAATATATATGATTGCCAATGATATGAGTAAATTTAATACAAAACAAAAGCCAAATCAAAACTTTTAAAACCAAAATCCAAGGCCAAAATTCC